GAGGAGCGTCCCGGCGGCTCCACGCGCGGCCGACGGGGGGTGGGGGAGCCTGGGTTCGACCCCGGATCCGAGTCCGTGGGCCGCTGTTTCTCAGCGTGCTCCGTGTGAGGGCCGCGAATATAGTCGGTGGTCGTCACGCCGGAGGAGGCGGTCACGTGACCCCGGGAGCGCGTGGCGGGGCCGCGTGGGAATTGCCTCTGCCCGGTCGGGGAGGACGCGGAGGGCGACGTGCGCGCGCGTTTCCCCGAGTGTCCCTCTTGCCCCGACTGTCCGCCGTGCCCCTGTCGTGGGGGCCTTAGTGGAGGGCGCCGTTCCGCCAGTGTACGTGGTGCAGGCGCCCTGTTCAGGATCCTGTAGCTGTTTCAGCCGGAGTGAAGCTGGGCAGGGCGTCGGGGGACCAGCCCGGCCGGTGGGCTCAGTGGTCAGGGCGCCGGCCGCGCGCCGCGGGGTCTCGGGGTCAGTTCCCGTCCGGGACACGTAGCTGGGCCGCAGGTCGATCCCCGACCCCTTCCCCCGTCGATGGATCTCTGTCACTTCGCTGTTTTTCTTTTTTTTTTTTTTAATATGTCTTTATTGATTTCAGAGAGAGGAAGGGAGAGAGAGAGAAACATCAATGATGAGAGTCATTGATCCGCTGCCTCCTGCTCGCCCCCTGCTGGGGATCCAGGAGCCCACAACCCGGGCCTGTGCCCTGACTGGGAATCGAACCGCGATCTCCTGCATCCTAGGTCGATGCTCAGCCGCTGAAACAACCCCCCCTCCCAGCACTTTGCTGTTTTTCTCTCTCTCTTCCTCTCCCCCTCCCTTACACTCTCTCTAAAAAAAAAAAAAAAAAAATCAATGGAAAAATATTGTCCGGTTCGGATTAAAAAAATGAAACAAATGTTGGCTGCCAGTATTACTATGGGCCAGTGTCCCCATCGTCGGTACCCTGGACCTTGTGGGCATCACCGTTTTGGTGACCGCTGCTGAACCTTAGAGCTCAGGCAGCGGGGGCTTGAGTCTCTCCTGTTCCTCACTGTCTGCGCCAGTGCCTTGCAGGGTCTGGCAGAGGTGCTGGGTGAACAGTTTCTGAGCCAATGGAAGCTTTGAGCCCAGTTCCCGGGAAATACTGCTAATGTTTTGAGATACGTCTTAATTCTGTTAACACTTGTGTGGTTTTATCTGCCACCTTTTCACAGGATATAAAATTCCTGTCATTGAAAATCTCGGTGCCACCTTAGACCAATTTGATGCCATTGATTTTTCCGACAATGAAATCAGGAAACTGGATGGTTTTCCTTTGTTGAGAAGACTGAAGACGTTACTGGTAAACAACAATAGAATATGGTAAGTGTCTGTTAGTGGAAAGTATTGTTCTTTCCTCGTGTAAGTGTTGCAGTTCCCTGAAAACATTGTGGTGCCCGCTGCCGGTTACACCTTCACGTTTCCTCTTAAAATGAGAAAATAGCTGCCCTTTTCTCATACAGATCAGAGCTTAACTTGGCATTGGTCTAGACCAGGGGTTTTCAACCTTCCTCATTTCATGGTGCACACAAACTAATCACTAAAATTCTGCAGCACACAGAATCTGACCCCCAAAAATAGGTATAATTTTGGTTCAGTCTCATTGGACGGCTATTGTGTTGGCTGATGTCATTTCTTTAATTTGACAGAAAAGGGGAAAAGAGGTCAGTGCCACTGACTAAATAGTCAGGTACTTCATGTTTTAAGAATTCTTGCAGCACCCCGGTTGAAAATTGCTAGTCTAGATTTGTTTGCATCTCCTGGGAAATTTGGTGTGTTTATATATTCATGGTAAGCTTCTCATTTAAATGAAAACCATGCTGCTTTGTACACATTTGGGAAAAGGCCTATTTCTCATGCATTAAGCATTCACATCATTGTTGTATGTGTTATACTTGAGCCGCGAGTGCCGCCTGCACAGAAGCCGTGATGGGAGGCAGGTGGTTTGTTATACACAGAGTTTCTTCTTTTCTTAGGTTTCATTAGACAGTGTGGTAGCAGGAAGAGCCCCCGACAGCCTTCAGCAAGCATGGGTCCTAAAGTCACACCGCTTCTGTCACTCACCCTGTGACCCCAGACAAGGTTTCCTCGGTGCCTCTGTCACATCAGGTGTTGGCAGAAAAATTTCTCCAGTTCTTGCCACTTAGAAGTCTGACATCCTCGGAGCAAGGACTTAGATAAAATTGTCAGCTTACTGAATTGTCACTTTTACTAAGAGCCCATCTGTTTTGATTTCAGCCGCATAGGTGAGGGGCTGGATCAGGCTCTGCCCTGCCTAACAGAGCTCATCCTCACCAACAACAGTCTTGTGGAGCTGGTAAGTCGAGCAAGGGGAACAGTGTGTTTAGAGGGAGGAGTTCAGGGTTCTACATTCTTTTAGAAAACTTGGAAAATCCAGAAAATTATCGTCCTTTTTATCTTTTTCTTAACTCTCTTGAAAACAGCATGGGACAGGATTATTTTTTTAAATCCAGTCTGAAATCTTTTAAATGACATATTCAACCTGTTTACATTTGGTGTAATTATTGGTGCATTTGAGGTCCCCTTTTCTTTTTTTTAGAACTTATTTGTCCCGCTCATTTGTTCTCTCCTCATTGTTTCCTTACACTCTCTTTTTGTTCATTCCATTTTTCCTTCAATAGTTTAGAAATTATTAATGCTACGACTTTGTTCTTAGCATTCTATGACTTAAAACATACGTATTTATCAATTTTTTTTTTAATTTTTATTGTCAACACTATTACAGGTGTCCCCATTGGCCCCCTACCCAGCCTCCCTCCCCTTCTCTCTGACCATCTCCATACTGTTGTCTGTGTGTATTTATCAAAGTTTAAAGTTAACCAATATTACCTTTACCCTCCTAAAGAACACAGGGTCCTTAAACATTCCAATCCTCCCTCCACCGCCACCAGCAACTTGTTGTGTATTTATGAAGTGTTTTCAGAAAGCACCAAGACATCATCGCTGCTAAGCTAGAAGCTGTTATGGCCAAGATTTAAGTTTAAGAAACTCAGATCCTTCAGTTTCTTCATTAGAAATGTATTAGGTGCCAGAGCAGGAAGGAAAATAGGACAAGGCCTTGCTCCAAAGGCATCACCATTTCAGTGTATCAAAACAGGGTGTGGGATGTGTGTTCTCACCCGAGGCTGTTGTTTTACAGGGTGACCTGGACCCTTTGGCGTCTCTCAAATCACTGACTTACCTAAGGTAAGGAAACTATCTGTGGTGGTGACAATGAAGTCCTTTAACAGCCTTACAAGCCTTGACCTTAAAACAGTCGGTTACTAAAAAGCACCTTGTAGTTTGCTGTACACCTGCACCTGAAAGGCATGCAAAATAATATTGAATGTCAAGTGGAATTGAAAAAAGTTTAAAGGTTTTTTTAAAAGATTTATTTTAAACCTCATAAATAAACCTTTTAATTTTGTTTATACCAGTAAAGAAAAGAAAAAGCACATTTTAAAAATAAATATTGCAGCCCTGGCTAACGTGGGTCAGTTGGTTGAGCGTCGTCCGGTGCACCAAATGTCGCCTGTTTGATTCCCGGTCAGGGTATGTGCCCAAGTTGTGGGCTCGATCCCTGATGGGGGGCATGCAGGAGGCAGCCAATTGATGTTTCTCTCTGTGTCTCTCTCTCTTCCTCTCTAGAATCAATAAAAACAACCAATATTGCAAATATTCTCTCTGGGCCCAGTACTCTGTTAACATTTCCCTAATGCTACTTAAGTTATTATGACACTGAAGTTAAATATGAAGACTAGTGGCTTTTCCTTAATTTATGGACTCATTAGATGTTATGAAAATGAACCTCTGAAGGCTGTGCTGTGAACAGGGTTTGCATGATGTTGCTCCTTTCCTCGTAGTATTCTGAGAAACCCTGTAACAAACAAGAAGCATTACAGGCTGTATGTCATTTACAAAGTCCCGCAAGTCCGGGTGCTGGATTTCCAGAAGGTGAAACTAAAAGTAAGTATCATTCTGTTCATCATAAGGCATTCATGATTTGTAGTTTTGATATTGGATATGTGTTCCTGATTTTTTTTTTTTTTAGTTGCCTAATGAATTTTACTATTGCTTTGTAATAAAAACGTGGGAAAGAAACTGTCAAGTCAAATTTTTTTCTGCAGCAGAGTGTATGGTGGGGCTCGGAGGTAAAGCTGTCTTATGTAGTATTGCTCATCCCAGCGGTAGCTTAGCCTAGGAGCCACAGTGAGCACTGGCCACAGGAGACCGCTCCCTGTGGGGAGCTTGATAGTATCGTCTTCAGCAGCTTTAGTTATTGCAACGAGTTCCCTTTATTGGAAGGTTTTTTTCTTTTGAACCTTAGTTCTTTGGGAGCCCCTCCTTGAGAGGAGGAGAGGGGTCTTCAGTGAGCTTCACCAGAGAAGGCAAGACCACTGTGTCTCCTTTACCGTGACACTGGCCTTCGGCATTTTCACCAGGCTGGTAGATTTCAGAAGCGTTTCCTTCCGTGTTTTCTGAGGAATGCATCTAAGTGCATGTGGTGTTCCTGTTTCCATTAACTCTGTGTGTGGTGTTGCTGTAGGAGCGTCAGGAGGCAGAGAAAATGTTCAAGGGCAAACGGGGTGCACAGCTTGCAAAGGATATTGCCAGGAGGAGCAAAACGTAAGAGACGGACGCCCGACTTCACTCCACTGCACCTTCAGAAACACTCTGGTTGGCTTTTTGCCTCCCGCAAAAGTAAACAAAACGCCTGTGGCTAATCCAGCATTACATTTGCGTGATGCGAGTCCGTGGCCATCAGCGGTCCACGCGTCACATGAGATTTCTACCCGATCAGCAGGGAGACATCTCAGTATTTAGTCTCAATGTCATACTGTATGTGTCCTGCTTTCTCTAGAAAGATGATCTCAATGGTGTTTCTGAAGGAGACAGTTTCTTGTATCAGTTTGTTAACAAAGATAAGATACTACACTGGTTGAATTACTTTCAAAAGCTTTTGGAAGTAAGAGAAGCAATTTCTGCTGGTCTGGGTTTGACAGTTCTTTTCTTCCCTCCCAAGTTTCAACCCAGGTGCTGGTTTGCCAACTGACAAAAAGAAAGGTGGCCCATCTCCAGGGGATGTAGAGGCGATCAAGGTAATGAGGTGTTAGGTCTCGGGCTCAAGAGAGCCGCCGTGGGTCTAGGACACAGATTTATGGAACGAATCCAATTCTCAACGTTGCAGATTTTTCCCGCGGTTGTTAGAACCCGTGGTTGTTAAAACTAGCTTGAAGTTAATTATTGGACCAGACTTTTACTAGAATTAATTACATGAGCCTTTGGAAGTGGAGGCAGCTCTGGTCTTTCTCATTTTCGCAGGAGGTGTGTATTTGAACAGTTATTCGCTTTGTGTATCGTGTCAGTGTCTGCCTTAGTTTTTACTTCTAAAGATTTCCTCCTTGGTGATCAGTGAGAAATCCTAATTTTATAACATTGCCTCTTAAATTATCCAGCAACATAATCCCAATAAGCAGTTCCATTTGTAACATTTTAGGATATTTTCTCTACTATAAGAGAGTCTGCGTTTCTTAACCAATTTTGGAAATTTATGAATCATTTTTTGGGTTGATTTCAACATGCCAATAAAGTTCTCCCCCCAACACAGAACTATTTAATGTTCCAACTTAAAAAGTTGCTGGGAATTTCTGTGGGTGTTGTCTGGGTGATTGATGGGCTTCGGTGAAATTGACTGTCCGTCTCCACTGTGTGTCCCCCAGAACGCCATAGCGAACGCGTCGACGCTGGCGGAGGTGGAGCGGCTGAAGGGCTTGCTGCAGTCGGGCCAGATACCTGGCCGGGAACGCCGAGCAGGTCAGGAAAGTGTGTTCTGTCTAATTCCAAATTCATGTCACACCCAAAGGATTCCCAAAGAGTTTGGATGCTGTGGCCCAAGAATCCTGGAATAGCGCCTCAGTGCCATCGAATCTGAGGTTCACGGGATCCCTTTAGATGCTCTTTGAAGATGAGTGGTTAGATATGGACTATGTCAGAGGACCCTGGGGTTTTCTGTGGAAAAGCTGATGCAGTCATTATTTTATAGCCATGGAGTGAGACCAAGCCCTAGAGGAAACCACGTGGACTTGCCCCGTGTGTGTAATATATAGGCTTAGCAGTTGGCAACATGGGTTCGAGAGTCAAACAGCCCGAGGCTCAGATCTTAGCCTCCCCAGCTCTGTCCTCGGGTAAATTTCTTAGTCCCCCACTTAACCTTAAATCCATTTCCTCATCTTTAAATCCGAGATAATAGCCTGGCTGCTGTGGCTCAGTGGTTGAGCATCTACCCATGAACCAGGAGGTCAGGATTCAATTCCCGGTCAGGGCATATGCCCCGGTTGTGGGTTTGATCCTCAGTAGGAGGCAGCCGATCAGTGACTCTCATCGATGTTTCTCTCTCTCTCCCTGTCCCTTCCTCTCTGAAATCGAGAAAAAAAAAAGGCAGACCTGAGAGGGCAGAGGCTGCTGTTGGGCTTCCTCCGTGTCCAGGGCCTGCCCGCAGGAGCCTCCACCCCCGGGCTCACACACTGAGGGAGCTCATTCTCTGAAATCGATTTGACTCTGGCTTTGCACTTCTCTTCAGGCCCCACCAATGATGGCGAAGAGGAGATGGAAGAAGACACAGTCACAAACGGGTCCTGAGCTGCACGGCTGGAGTATCCACCGGATGTGTAACGTGTCCGCTTGGGACAAAGTCCTGCCTTTTGAATATGAATAATAGTCCTGTTTGTGTCAGTAGAGAGGAGTCCATAAGCGTTGTTGAAATGCTCCAAACTGCTGCTGGTCATTTTTCAATATACACTTTGAAATCTAAATGCCTTGTTTTTTACAAATAGTAACAATAAAGGACACTCGCTGCGCCGCCAGGTTGCATGTTGCTGGGCTGTGTGCGCAGTGAGGTGTGTGGACACCTTTAAGCCAGAGGTGCAGGAGGGCAGCGTTTCTAACTGGGCTTCCATCCTCTCTGAAATGTTTAGGATTTTAAATCTTTAATAAAACTCAAGGTTATCAATGTGCCACCAGTGATTGTCTGTAGACTTTGCCACCTCTGGTGCATGTTTTCCGGCACAAATAACAAAAGCTGCGTTACAGGCAGCCAGGCTTAGGGCTTCGCAGGAATCAGCGGCGTTTGAAGGTTTTATTTGATAAACATGCCAACGATGAGTGATTGATTTGAAAAATCGGGGGCAGTGCAGCTTCCACTTGTCAGCTGATGGAGTTCACAGGGTGACACGTTGCAATGTGGAGGCACCACGAGGGGACACAGCTGTCCCAGTGCGCAGGCCAAGGCAGGGTTCCTCACGATTCCTGGATGCCGTGTTACACTCTCACCCTCTTATGGCCAAGTTAGGCCACTGGGAAGGCAGTGGGGGCAAGTCCCTCAAAACCAGCCCAGAACTCAGGTTGTCTGCAGCAACCACTGTTTACTCTCACAGCTGGCTCTGCTTTTCCCTGCAGGTCTGTGAGCTCGGTTCACATATTTCACTGTCCCTGGACAGGGTGGTTAACGGGAAAGGCAGAAGAAGGAAACAGGCCTCTCGACTCACTGTTGGTACCCTGCCTGCCTGCCCTTAACTAAAGCCAGCTACCAGCCACGCCCCAAATCTAAGGCTAGGAACACACTTCTGCCGCCTGGAGGCTACAGTGAGGGGAGGGTTGCCAAGAATGACAAATTGAGGCCAATCAGTTTACCGAGGGCGGTGACGTGCTCTGCATACCACCTTTTGTCCAGTTTTTGCAAACAACACCTGAGCAGTTGTATTGAGCAATTGCTGAAGTAACTATGGTTCTAGGCAGGTGAGGTGAGATGACACACCTGGGTAAAGGGACAAAGGTAACAGTGTGGCTAAAAAGAAGGGGACCATAAGAAGAGCCATATGCTAGGAACTGAACCAAGACACCACTATCCATGCATTCTAATAACATGTATTTTAGTTGAATTAGCCATCTGTCGTCATACTGTGTATACGTGTGCACACAGATGCACTGCAGTTCACAGTATAGTATACAAAGGTACTTATTCTTGTATATGTTTAAAATGTGCCTTATTTTCATGAGTTGTGCTCATTTCTATTTTATATGGTAAAGTCCTGAGTAACAGGAAGTGTTCACTATCCATGGTAGAAATGAAATCTTACCATTTATTTCATCTTCATGATTACAGACATTACAGGGCAGGTGGTAAGCAAGGCAAATGTATGTATAGCTCACATTTATTTCCATGTTTAATATTTGAGCTGTTTTGGGTCTTTATTTAGATGTTTGGTGACCAGAAATATGCCATTGGAACTTAGCTCTTGTCTATATCAATGAGCCTCGTATTTAGATGTTTGGTGACCAGAAATATGCCATTGGAACTTAGCTCTTGTCTATATCAATGAGCCTCAGGTAAACTTTCCTATGGTAATCTGACACCTCTTTTTTCATTTTAATTTTTTCAATTGATTTTTTTAGAGAGAGAGAAATACTGGTTTTTGTTGTTTCAGTTATTTATGCATCAAAGAAAGGTATAATTTTGGTTGATTCACAAATAATAATCACAGTAGTAGTAGTAATAGTAATTATCTACCCTTTTTGCTCTAAAGTGACTTTTTAAAAAAATCAGCTGCCTAAACTTGTACATAGGATTTCCGGTACCAAGAATTAAGCAGTCAGACGAGACCTTATGCGACGTGACCAATAAGATGCAGCTCCATTATATGATGTATATGTTTATGACTCAAGACAGGGCGTTCACACCGGACGGCTACTGTGTTGGCTGTTGACTTATTTGACAATCTGGGGGAAGAGAGGTCCCATGCCCCTGACTAAGTAGGTATTGGCATGTTTTAAAAATTCTTGCAGCTCACTGGTTGAAAGTCACCGATTGAAACTTGTACCGGGTCCCTTTTCAGGCACATGCTCGGGTTGCGGGCTGCAGCCGATCAATGACTCTCTCATCATTGATGTTTCTATCTCTCTCTCTCCCTCTCCTTTCCTCTCTCTGAAATCAATAAAGATATATTAAAAAACAAACAAAAAAAAATCTTCAGCCCTGCCAGTGTGGCTCAGTGGTTGAGCGTTAACCCCGAGCCAAGTCAGTCACCCGTTCGATTTCCGGTCAGAGCACACGCGCAGGTGGCCGGCTCCATTCCCCAGTAGGGGGCGTGCCTGAGGCGGCCAATGGATGTTTCTCATTGATGCTTCTATCCTGTCTCCCTCTCTAAAATAAAAAAAACTTAATAAAACACAGGCCCTGGCTCAGTTGGTTAGTCGTCCCAATATGCCAAGGTCATGGGTTTGATCCCCCGTCAGGGCACACAAGAATCAACCAATGGAAATAAGTGGAACAGCAAATCAATATTTTCTCTAAAAATCAATAAAGATCTAATTGACTATATGAACCAATTCATGAGTCGGGCAGCACCTGTTGAGCTACTAGATGGGTGCTCCAATAGCTGTGCAAAGTGGGAGGTTTTTATAAGCAGCAAGGTGGGGTGGGGGAGGTGAAAAGGGATTATTTCAGGCGAACAGACCACCCACCTCCCCCGAGGGGAAGGCGGGGGGTTTTATCAGGCAGGTTACTTGCCTAGTGTTGATCTGAAAGTTGATTGGTTTAAAATTCCACCTGCAGTTAGCTTAGCTGTTAAATTTTGGTTAATTGCCAGATCCTGAGTCCTCAATTTCTGGATTTGAGGAGCCCATTGTCAAGGGGAAGAGCTTTCAGGGTTTTCTAGGCCGGGGTGGAGAACTGCAGTCAGCCCTTCAGGAATCTCCTCTCATTCACTGCTTTGTAAACACACAGCTGGGGTCAGCGGGGTGTCCCCAGAGCTGCCCCCTTGAGGAACTTCTAGACAAAGCAAGGCTGGAAGCCCTGGGGGTATCAAAGCTTCCAGAGGGTGGCCAGCCGGTGTGGCTCAGTGGTTGAGTGTCGACCTCTGAACCAGGAGGTCAGGGTTCGATTCCCAGTCAGGGTTTCGGGCTCCATCCCCAGTTTTTCACAGTTACGCTAAATAAAGTTCAAGTAAATATGAAAATGGAATTATCTTTATTGACTCATCCATCGGGCATCTTATCCAGCCACTAGACGGGCACTGGGAGGGGTTGTAAAAAATGGAAGGTTTTGAGAGGAAGGGAGCTGTTGACAAAGGGGAGCTTTTGAGATCTATATGTTGTCAGTTTGACTGAAACTCAGAAAATGTATTTTTAAAAGAAGGGAGAGGATTATTTTTCAATGGGCGCATCTTCGGGGCGAGGGTTTTATGCAGATTGCCTCTTCTTCCTACCTGGGAGTGCAGAGATTGCGACCATCACCTTGTCACCGGGGAGACAGGTCCAGGGGTAAGCCCCAGAGGAGCTGCTGCGCATTGCTCCCCTGGCTGCAAGTCTGGGGTCCGTCCTGGAGGGGGCGCTGGGACGTTCATTTTCAGCGGTTTTAAAGGCTGGGCGTTTAGGGGACGTCTTAGGGGCGGATAACAGAATATTCCCGAGCTTTTTGCTGCTGGCCCAAAATGAGATTTATTCCCTTAGTTTGCCCGGCCTTGGGTGTGGTTGGCAAATGGCACTACTCGGGTGTCTGTTATCTGCCCCCCTGGGTGGGGTGACTGAAGCTGTTCGCCTCTGGCCGGGGAGGAGCCATGCAAACCATTTACCCCCAAGTGTCCTGGGTTCTAGGAGGTGGGACTGACTAGGCGGCCACAGAGCTGCGGTTTATGTCTCTTAGTTCCCCGATCCCGCTCGTGCTGGACTTTCCCTGGCTGCAAACTGCTGATGACAACCTTCTGGTGCCTGATCGGAACAGTCCCGGTTGGTCTTTGTTTCTGGGAGAGGCGGGCACAGCAATCCGGTCGGGTATTAAAACTAGGTTTGGAATCCGGGGGGTCTCTTTAAAAACCCGGCTATTAATTGTCTAGCAGCGTTTGAGACAGCTCCGTACGTTCACTTTAAAACCTTCTGCAAAAAAAAGCCCAAGTGGAATCTCAGACAGGCAGCCTCGGAGAGGCGCCGGGGGCGAGGGTGGAGGGGGGCGCAGGGCGCTGCGGCCGCGGGTCCCCGAGAGCGCGAAGGTCCGACAGCGGAGCCGCGCGGGTGCTGCAGCCGCCGCTCATCCCCAAGAGGTTCCGACTCCGGAGGGGCGGAGAAGCCCGGGGGTCAGCGGGGTTTCTGAGCC